TTATTACTTAATTAAATTTTAAGCAGGCAATTGTTTAGACTTGTGTCATAGCTTTGTCTTACTTTTTGTGAGTGACAATTCAGATCTCAGTTCAGATGGCAAAGTAGTTAAGACACTGGACTCTCACGACTGATTGGAATTTGTGACCCAGACCTAGGGGCTTAAAACTCACTAGGAGTGTGTGTGTGTGTGAGTGTGTGTGTGTCTGTGTGTGTGTGTATACACAAAATCCTGAGAAAAGAATGGAGAAGGTATTACAGCATGGTCACCCCCTACCCCCGGGAAGTGATTCCTCTTTTTCTGTCTCTCTGGCAAGTGCATACACCTATGGCAAAAAATCTCTCTTTAAAAACAAAACAAAAACAAAACAAAAAAATGTCAGTTCATTTTTTTAAGTCTCTGTGTTTGTCCTGTGCTTATGTGGTTCAGGGGCCAGCTTGACACTCATGTGTGATCCCTTCATACTGGACAATGTCTCTTTGTGGTTTTCTTCCCTCCCCAATTGTCCCCTTTCCAGCTATGGCTAATTTCATGATCCTTTCTCTGGGTCCTCCAAGCAGAAAAATGGTGGAGGGCTTTCTACTCCGGTTTTAGCTATACATGTTGTACTGCTTTATGACCATGGTCCACTCTTGAAGTAAAACCTGACCCCTCTGCCCTGACTCCAACACATACAGGGACACACACCTATGTGCCAGCTGCTTCTTCAAATCTGAATCCTCTCCCCAACTCTCTTTTATTTACTCTTCAGAATCTTTGGACAGTTGTCATTTATATCTTGTACATAATTTATAGTTATCAACAGGATGGGAGATGGTTTGTCAAATGTTTACAAACTATTTTTGTTCGAAATGTAGAAACATTGTCCAGGGGCCAGCAGGTGGTATAGCGGTTAAGGCACTGGACTGCCACACAGCTGCCTGTGTTTTGAGTTTCGGATCTGGTAGCTTAACATTCATTCTGGGCACATGTGTGTGCATACCCAAGGTCCTAAGAGGAGAATGGAGAAGAGACTGTGGTTTTGCCATGTCCCCTAGGGGGTGATTTCTCACTTTCCCTCTGTCTTTCTTTCTCTGGCAAAAACCTAAAAAAATAAATAAATAAATAAAATAAAAATATTATCCATTCTAAAATGACATTAACATAATTAAGAATAGTATCTGGCAATGGTAAGTTCCTTAATCTGGGTAATGTTTACATAAACATTTGTTTCATAATTATTACATTTTATATATAATTTCAGTATACTTAATGCATTTTCTCTTTTTTAAAGTTTTTTTTTTTTTTGCTAGACGGTGTATGTACTCATCAGAGAAAGGGAAAGTGAGCAATCACCCCTCAAGGAGGATGGCCATGCTGCAATCCCTTCTCCATTCTCCTCTTAAAATTTTGGGCACACATGCACACATGCCCTGGTCCAGGACTTGAACCACAGTTAGTCATGTGGGATCCAGCCATCTTAACTTCTATGTTGCCTGCTGGCCCAATACACTTCATTTTAAAAAAATGAAGCCCTTCATAATCAAAACTTGGCTACTCACTTAACATTTATCTTGCTGATAATATTGCTGTAAAAATATCATACAGTATTTCAATAAATGGGAGAAATGAACGAAAAATAATTTCTTGAAGTATACACAGGCAAGGAAAACTTACTACATTTTCTTTATTTCTATTTTTTTTTTTTTGGAGAGGTTTTTTTTATAGGGTGTGTGCGCTCACCAGAGAGAGACAGAAAGCAAGAAATCATCCCCCAAGGGGGACGGCCATGCCACAATCCCTTCTCCATTCTCCTCAGGATCTTGGGCACACGTGTGAGTTTAAGCCACTGGATCCAGGACTCAAACCACAATCAACTACGCGGAAGTCCAGCGACATAGCCATTACACCAACTGCTGGTCCCAAACTTATTAAGTTTTAAGTGGGTTCAAGTAAATAATCCTCTGCAGTATTTCAAGGTAGTAGAGCAGAGTTGTATTGAAATCTTGGTTCAAATTCTGGCTGTTGTTGTTACTAGCTGTGTAACATTGGTTAAATTATTTCGTCTCTCTGAGCTTATTGTACTGTTGTAAAATGGAGAAAATAATACTACCTATCTCTCAGGATACTGAGATGTTTAGGAAATGAACGTAAAGCACTTAGAATAGCAACAGGGTCACCCCATAACAGTTAGGACAGCTGGATCCCACACAGCTGAATGTGTGGTTCAAGTCTGACTCAGTGGCTTGAGAAAAACGGCAGGCTCATGTATGTGTGTGCTCAAAATCCCAAAAGGGAGAAATAGAGAAGGGATTATGATGTGGAGGTCAGGGGGTGCTTTCTCTCTATCTCTGTCTCTTCTGGAAAGTGTGTGTACCCTTTGACAAAATTAAAAATAAAAAAGTGCCATGTACTTATAAAATGTTCAATAAACACTACTATTGGCAGTATTTTCTTCTGAACCCCAGAGTTTCTTCTATCACTCATTTACTCAACTACGAGTCTTTATTTGATGCATCTCCACTAAAATGAATTGAGATGATCCTTCATTTCTGGGAATGAACACTCTACAGACTTAAAATTCAGGATACTACTAAAAAGTTTTAGTTGGATGCGCCCTCTAGTGGTATATGTTATGTGCAAGTACCAAGTTATCTAAATACAAAACATAGGAAACCTCTTTATGTAATCTTACTAGGTTGGATGTTTAGAACCTGAAGCCAGTTGGTAAGACAAGAATGATCTTACATCTTTTAAACTCCTTATTTTCAAGGGCTGGGGGATCTTGCTTTGTTTTTCTTGTCTTTTAAAACTTTCCCCACCATATGACCCAGGAAATTTGTGATACCATAGAAAATCATTCTCATGGCATTGACTTTAGTCTTTCCTCTTCAAGAAAATTGGCACCCTTTGTAGTCTGCTTTAAACAAACTGTAAAGTATTTATTCTTTATCCAGTTAACAAATACTGAGCACCAATTAAGTACCAAGAAAAAGAGTACAATAAACAATTTATTACACAATTCATGTAATCACAAATTCAAAAAGTGTCATTAGGCAGTGTACTACAGTGACTGGATTGTTTCAATATGGGAAGGTGAGTTTGCATGGCTTATATGAGAACAAAATATTAAAGCACTGGGTAGAAATTAATTGGAAGAATACCACACACACGGTGGTATTTCAGAAACTAAGGGAGGGCTCCTATGTGAGGAGCTTAAAGAAGGGGGAGATTCTGTAGGGTGAAGCTAAGTGAAGTAGAGACTTCATATACCACTTAAGGAGTTTGAACTTCATCCTAAGTGAGAAACTATGGAAGAGTTTAAAGCAGGATAGCAACAATTTGATTTGGCAATATAGTTTACATTCTCAAAAATTAACTTAACAAAGGCAAGAAAATTGATTTCAGGGAGTTGGAGCAAGAACAGACTAGACCAGCTACAGTAATCCACATGAGACATGATGAAAGCTGGGACAAAGGAGATAAAAAGTGGAAACTATGTACTTAAAATGTAAAGTGGACTGAGCTTGATGATGAGGATGAGGTAGTTCTCCTGGTGAACCAAGTGGTTTAATGCAATTTTTTCACCAGACAACTAGTGTGGTATCTAAGTGAGACAAATGTGTTGTTTCGGAGGCTAGGTCTTCTTAAAAAAATAATTCCTTGGGCCAGCCAGGGGGTGCTGGTTAAGGTGGCTGGATCACACATGGCTGACTGCACTGGTGAGTCTCAGACCCGTCATGCCGCTGGGTTCACATGCCAGGAGAGAAGAGTGCAGTAGAGACGGGATTGTGGTGGTGTGGCCATCCCCTCTGGGGGTGCTTTAACACTTTCCTTGTCTCTCTCTCCAGCAAGTGCACGCATCTGTAGCGAAAAAAGAAAAGAAAAGAAAACAAAACGAAACAAAACGAAAGAAAACAAAAACTTCTTTGACTACAAAATATCAACTAGCTTTGGGCAGGAAGGTCACTAGGCACCGCCTCTCACACAACAGAAGACCAAAATATGCATTCAGATTTCTATCACAGTGATCCACTCTCAATGCACTAACATCTTCATCCTGTCTCTGCCTGGAATGGTCCTAACTCCCTCAGCCCATTTCACCTGATTTTTGCTTTGTTTTTCCAGATTCTCAGGAAAGCCTTGGCGGAATCTCCCTCCCTCCCGGCCCTCCGGTCTTTCTCGCCCACTAAGCTGTGAGGTCACACCACGAACGGAGCACTGTAGCTGTGTCCTAGGCGCCCAGACTCGCGCGTTCAAACACTAGGCGCCCTACATCTACTCGGCCAACTTTCTCTGTAAAGGAAGAGGCCTCATTGGCTGGCTGTCCTGCCTTCTCGGAGCAGTCCGGGAAGGCCCACCGGAAGTGACGCGCACTCAGGGAAGACGTGCTTCCGGACCCCGGGAAGGCCGGCTTCTCTTGCTCGCTAACTCTGCTGCTTTGGAAGATTCACGCGCGGTAAGAAGCCGCGTGCGACCGGCGAGATGGGGCTGCTCGGGTGCCGGAGGGGCCGGC